GCCTACGTTATAGCGGGCAGCCTAACATCGCGCAGTTTTCGGGACGCGCGAATGCGTCCGAAGGAAGGCGGGCTATACGCATTCGCGCGGCGGGGAGCGCGAGATGCTACATACAACACCACTTCCGCGGGACTGGGCGCACGCGACCGCGGGGACCGCCGAAAGCGGTTAAGCCGCGCATCACGGACGTGGAAGTTCGGCTATGTTGGCAGGCTAGCCAACGACACAGCTTCCTCTTCCGCCATATTGGATTTTTCGAATTATTGTTTTTATGACTAGCACGACTTCCTCTCAAGAACGTTGATTTTTCTTCCTTCTTGCACTAAACGCTTGACTGAATATTCCTCCAGGACTGATTGATTAATATGTCCACATAGATCCGAAAATCCTCGCCGCCAATGTAGAATTGTAACACTGACAGGAAGAATGGAGAGAAAAGACTAATGCGTGCAGTTACTGCGGGGATCACTCGTCAGATAACCTCTGACCTTTATTGTCGCTTATGTAAAAAGGTCGCTTAAGTGAAAAGGTCGCTCAGAACATTACAAATAGTATCTTGAATATGTGCAGCGAAGTTGTGTTAGTGTGCCGCTACGCGGCCTTTTTTGCGCTTCGCGCGGATATCCGGGCTGCCGACTGTCTAGTTCCTTAATTTTGTCATTTCTCTCTTGTAAACAGCTAGGAACTCGTCTAGCAATTAGAGGGCACAACCTGCCATATTTACGAGAATTATCCAGTGTTTTCCCCACTGTAATTACCTACCATTATTGCTTGAGTAACAGCAACTGTCCAGAGAGACCGGGTACAAGATGGCGTTGCGCAAAAGATGCGTTGTTCCCTAACCGACACCGTTGTTCCAACGATGGAATAAGTGAAAAAAGGCTTCAACAATTTAATGAAAGCCATGAACGTTCGAAATCAGGAACAGCAGAAAGCTATTCTGCTGTACGTGGCAGGCGAAGAGTTAACAGAGATTTTCGATAATCTTCCGGACACTGGGGAATCGTGCGACCAGGCACTTGCTGCGTTTGATGCGTACGTTAGACCCCATAACAACGTGGAGTACGAGATTTTCAAGTTCAGGACTGCAAAACAGGAAGCGCATGAAGACATTGATGCGTTTCATGTAAAGCTAAGGAAACTGTCGTCGAACTGTGAGTTTAATAACGTGGAGAGAGAGATTAAATCACAGATAATTCAGAGCTGCAGGTCATCAGAAGGAAAGCATTGCAGTATCCAGAACAGACGTTGGATCAGCTTCTAGCAGCGGCTCGGACATTGGAGATCTCAGATTCGAATGCTGGCAAGATGGAGAATGAGACAACCACGGGAGGTGTGCATCGAGTCTACACGCCAGGTGGGAGTCATAAAACTAGTGAGAACCGTAGACGGCCTGAGGGCAAATGCTGGTTTTGTGGAGGAGCGTACCCACATTGAGGAGTATGCCCAGCTAAAGGAAAGACATGTAATAACTGCCGCAAGTCAAATCACTTCAGCTCAGTATGCCACAGCAAACACGTAACTCAGTCAAAGGCTCCGAATCAGCCTAACAAGGCAAGCAGGAGGACTAGTTTCAGGAGGAAACCAGTACACGTGGTACGAGAAGCCACGGAGTCGTCAGAGGATGAATACGCGTTCGGAGTAAGTCCAAAGTCAGACGCTAGAGTGGAGGTCATTATAAATGGGCAACCAGTGGACATGATTGTGGACACAGGATGTTCCAAGAATATAGTTGACAAAGGAACCTTCGACTCATTGACAGACATCACGCATCTACAGAGTAGCCACATAAAGCTATACCCGTATGGGAGTTTGAAGCCTCTGCGCGTAAAGGGGAAGTTCGCAGCAGAGATAGCAGCAAACGGGGAAAAGATTATGGCAGAAATTCACGTAGTGAAAGCGGCAAAGGGAAATTTGCTGTGCCTAGATTCAGCTAAGGCATTACATCTGGTATCCCTCGTGTCCAAAGTGGATGCAGACGTCGTTTATGATCCACATGATGCAAGTCATCTACAGGCAATGCTACACGAGTACAGTGATCGTTTCGTAGGAATCGGAAAACTCAAGGATTTCAAGGTCAAGCTGCATGTCAAACCTGAAGTCAAGCCAGTCGTTCAACCACATTGTACGGTGCCGTTTATTCTACGCTCTAAGGTGGAGGAGAAAATCCGGGAGCTCGAAGAAGCTGATATCATAGAACCAGTAACAGGTCCAACTCCCTGGGTCTCGCCAATTGTCTGCGTACCAAAACCCAAGAATCCGGAGGAAATTCGTCTATGCGTTGACATGAGGGCAGCGAATAAGGCAATCGAGAGAGAGAGACACATAACTCCCACTGTTAATGAGATGATTGCAGAAGTCAGCGGTGCTAAGTACTACTCTAAACTAGACTTGAACCAAGGCTATCATCAGCTGGAAATCGAGGAATGCAGTCGCAACCTGACATGCTTCACCACTCATGTAGGTCTTCGAAGATACAAACGTCTAAACTTTGGAGTAAATAGTGCGAGCGAAATCTTCCAGAATGCCATATCACAAGCACTGGATGGCATTCAAGGTGTCGTTAACATAAGTGACGACATTCTTATCTACTCCAGGAAATCTATCAAAGATCATGATGAAATCCTACGTAGAGTACTGCAACGTCTGCGTGAGTGTAATCTCACATTAAATCGAGCCAAGTGTGTGTTTCGCAAGACGACACTACAGTTTTATGGCTACATCTGGACAGCTGAAGGTGTTCGCCCAGACCCTGCCAAAATAACAGCTATCGTAGACACGGCTGAGCCGAGCAACGTATCAGAAGTTCGATCATTTCTGGGAATGGTCAACTATGTTGCACGCTTTATACCCCAGATGGCAACAGTATCTGAACCACTCAGAATGCTCACCAAGAAGGATGCTGTTTGGAAATGGGGCGACGCTGAGACTACAGCATTCCAGCACCTCAAGGACAGCTTAATAAATGCTGATGTCATGGCATTTTTCAATACCGAAGAGAAAGCCGATCTGATCGTAGATGCAAGCCCAGTCGGACTTGGTGCGATGCTGACCCAGAAAGGAAAGATAGTGGCATTCGCAAGCCGCGCTCTAACGGAGGTGGAGCAAAGGTACTCTCAGACGGAAAGAGAGGCTCTCGCAATCAAGTGGTCATGTGATCATTTTCGCCTGTATCTCTATGGCAAACCAGTGAATGTTATCACCGATCACAAGCCGTTGGAAGCCATATTCGGTAATCCACACTCCAAGCTTCCAGTGAATTGAAAGATGGTTAGTCAACCTTAAGGATTACTCGCTCACAGTCAAGTATTCTCCCGGAAAGACGAATCCTGCTGACTACATGTCACGCCATCCGATACCAGTCAAATCAGATCGTGATGAGAGAGTGACAGAGGAGTATGTGAACTTTGTGCTGTCACATGCCACGTTTCAAGCTATCACTATTGAGCAAGTACAAAAGGCGACAGAGGAAGATCCCGCTTTGACTAGTGTCATAAACGTTGTGCAGTCAGGAGAGTTATACAAATTACTTGTAGACGAGGATCAACGGGTGAAGCCATACTGGAACGTCAGAGCAGACCTGTGTGTGACGTCGAACGGTATCTTGTCAGAGGGAACAGAATAGTAATACCGGCAGCATTACAGAGCCAGGTAGTGAAACTGGCACACCTTGGACATCAAGGAGTAGTCAAGACAAAGGCTTTGCTGAGGAGTAAGGTTTGGTTCACGGGGACAGACAAGATGGTTGAAGCAGAAGTGAAACACTGTCTCCCTTGTCAAGTGGGCACAAGAGAAAACACCAGAGCACCTCTGAAGATGAGCAAATGTCCCGAGCAGCCGTGGACTCATGTGTCTGCGGACTTCTGTGGCTCACTGCCTCCGGGTGAATATTTGTTAGTGGTCGTTGACGAACACAGCCGTTACCCAGCTGTAGAGATCACCCACAGCACATCTGCCCGGTCGACGATTCCCCACTTCGACAAGATCTTTGCCTGCCATGGCATTCCCGAAGTGGTGAAGACGGACAATGGCCCTCCTTTCAATAGTAGCGATTTCCGTGGGTTTGCTGGTTACCTTGGATTCAAACACAGGAGGATCATGCCGGAGTGGCCAGCGGCTAACGGCGAGGCAGAGCGGTTCATGAGGACACTGAAGAAGAATCTGCATACCTCCGAGTCTCAGAGGAAACCGTGGAAGCAGGAACTGTGGAAATTCCTCAGACAGTACAGGGCTACACCCCATTCGTCAACAAAAGTGGCACCCGCAGAAGCTCTATTCCACAGGAATATCAGAACAGAGTTACCCAGCATTCAGAGTTTCTCAAAAGAGGATATTCGCAAAAATGTGCTGCTCAGTGACAAAAATGCAAAGAACAGAATGAAGAGATATGCGGACAAACGACGGAGAGCATGCAAGTCGAATATCTGTGTAGGTGACACTGTCATACTACAGGATCCACATCCGCGTAAGCTGGATCCACCGTATTACCCTAAGTTACACGAGGTAGTGAAACGTAAAGGTGATATGGTGACCGCTACGCATGGCTCTAAACCGGTGACCAGAAATATATCCAGGTTCAAGGCAGTGGATGCCAGATACCAGTCACAGGACATGTCCTGTTCAGAAAGTGATGGGGATGTCATTCCGAATCCTACTGGAGAGAATGAGGGGACACGTGTAGAATCCGATCAGAACAGCCAGACGGAGGAGAGACCGTTGGACAGTTCATCCAAGGTGCATCGGGCGAGGGAGCGCCACCGTCCAGCATATTTGAAGGACTATGTGACATAATAAGCTTACCAGAGCGAAATGTATATCATTGTGTGCATATCATAATTGTACCTATCGCGTCTAGTTTTGTTCTCAGTTGTCAGTGCTAGTATGCTTATTATATGCTATCAGATGTTTTATAACTTCTTGATTCATTTTCTGTAATATAATAATCGACAGGTTATGTCGTAGAGTATTTTGTTTATCATTATAGGAACAGTAGCCTCTAGGTTCTAGGGTTATTTTCAGCTAATTTAGGTTATAATTGCGCTACATAAAAAGTTTCATGGTTCAATCACCATTAGAAATATTTTTAAAAAATGTTTTAAAACTAACGACTACAGTTTGATTACAACGACGGTGGCGCCACTCAAAGCGCATGATCTGATAAGTTGCGCAAAACCACTTTCCAACCAAGGGCTACAGACCGAGGGTGTTTCTTATTTATCCATTTAAAAGCAAAAGAATTGTAATATCTTATAAACGACATATAGTTTCAGTTAAAATATGGATAAATTTGCCCTAAAATGAATATCGTTCGGTTAAATAGCATTTAGGTATAAATATAATTGCACTTTTGTGATTAGCCCTCGGTCATTTACCTGCAAACTAAAATGCAAATACGCAACTTTTTCAGGGTGGCAGCACGGTCGCGGGTGTCATGGCGCCGTTCAAATTTCGTAGCGTTGATGTGTAAATAATTAATTAAGTATCTGGTGACAAATACATGTGGGTATTAGACGATTTGTTATACAGTAAGTACAGTTGTATGCAGTAAAATCCTAGAGGCTACTGTCCCTTTATACAATTAATCAACCTTTCCAAGTTGGGGATAGATGTAAGTTGAGCGACCTTTTCACTTAAGCGACCTTTTTACATAAGCGACAATAAAGGTCAGAGGTTATCTGACGAGTGATCCCCGCCATAACTGCACGCATTAGTCTTCGCTCCATTCTTCCTGTCAGTGTTACAATTCTACACTATTATACTTCAACGGGTCCAGTATAAACGCCAAACCACTATAATCGCTGAGTTGAGCAGTTCTGGTGATTGCACGACGGGTTAGACTACCCAGTTAGCTAGACATTTGCTCGAAATGCTCGAAGAACTTTTTTCGCTACTCGGAGCGCTTGGTTTGCTGTAAAAAACCGACTTTGACTTTTTTGTTCACATTGTAACAATATATAGCGCTCATGCGTAGCGTTGACTCTGGCTAAGTTTAGAGGATCCGATATATAGGAACAATACAACATGTCTCTGCTATTCGTAATAAATCCAGTTTACAGTTAGTTTTATTCTCACTCTTATCTGCTATTGTATCTCTGCATAGTTACACTCCTCATCAAACTAAAGATTTCAGCATGGTGTCAGAAGTGCCTATACTGTGAACAGTGGGAAGCTTGAACTGTAAGTGTTCCGTAAGAATTCACGTGAAATTCCGGAGTGCTCCGACTCGCACAGCCTCGTGATCCTGAACAAAGGACTACAGTAGACTGTGTGGCAAGTACTGTAGCTATGGCTCTGCAACGTCTCCCTCCACCTTCGAAGTTAGAATTTAATTCTAAAACCGGGGCCAGTCTTGCGAATGACTGGAAGAAATGGAGGGAAGAGTTTGTACTGTATGCTGAACTAGCACTCAAAGAACACGGAGAGTGAGAAAATAAAAACGTTGAAATACTTGATAGGCCCGGAATGTCGCGAAATTTACGCGACACAGAGATGGGATCAGGAGGAGAAAGACAGAACGATAGAAATTGTTCTCCGACAATTTTATACACTAGCTGAAACCCGCGCTACGCGCGGGCTTAGTGACTGTGATGCATGTGTTACCAGTACAGTAGTGTTATGTGTAAGGTGTTATATGGAGAGTTTAGTTGTTGCACATGTTTGTTTTTTAAGGTTGAGATGTCAATACAAATACATGTGCATGCAATCATGCTTACACGTAACACATTAACCATTTGTTTGGCAAGTACACAGTGAAATACACACACCCACACAGAAATGTTTTATTGTATGCTATGTACTGGTTGATGATACGGACTCCAAAATTAGAATATAGATAGATGTGAATAGGTATAACGTAAACGTAATATTACGTGCTTCGCATGTTTCCACGGTGTGCGGACCAGGTAATATTGCGTGGTTGTGACCGCTTACTTCTACGCATGTTTGCACTCTGTGCGGACGACGTAATATTACGTGCTTGATTGTGATCGGACCGCTTGTGACAGATCGGTGTTCACGACACCCGTACACTGTACAGCATTGCAAACTTCAAAAAAAAAAAATCTGCTCTGATGAAATTCAACTTGTACATCTCATAATCATATGGGAAACTATGGCCAAATAGCTACTGAATATTTAACTTCATTATTACATGGTTATTTCTACTTACATTATGGGGCTTACACAAATCTCAGACACACGGACACAGAACAGAGATACACAGAACAACAC